TATTCTAACGCACGAGAACAAAACAGTTTTTTATTCTATTGTTGAACATATTATAATAGAATAAAAATGAAAGCTACCTTCTTATAATGGTTTACCTACATATACTTCATCGAGTCTTTTCAGTTAATTACGCCATGGCTGTCGTTATTTTTGCATCAATGGACATTTATGGGATTCGTATGGGTGTCTGGGTTGGGTTTATTGGTTTTGCATCATTCTTTGATATACGGAAAGTCTGATGCGGAAGTTGATATGCGTAGTATGGAATATTATGACCATGCGCAACCACCATCACCATCAGCAGGCTATAATATTATGCGTATGCATTCAACTTCGGAGATAGCCGAGTTCGTGCGTGACGTACACGGACGTCGCGCGATCAGTCTGGTTCATGAAAACATATGCCCAACACTGCGCATACGAGGCGCCAGTGTGTATTTCTTGTCGATGGAATTTCTAAATCGGAGACGCTAGTGTATATTTTCTTGCCATTTATGTCTGCACGTAGAAAGCTTTATTTTCTTACCGCTTGCATCTACAAAAAAGGGCGAGGCTATATATCGCATATTTTTTTGCACCATTGGACATTCATGAAATTAGTCAAAAATTAATTATTAGTGTTAACTGGTGAAATGACGTTTTGTGACAGATATCGTTCTGAGAACAATATCTCTTTTTGAAGGTGACCCCTGTACTACAAATAGTTGCTGCTATAGGAGTACTTTGCTATTCGCTAACTGCCACCTTTATATCACTCCCACTCCCACTGCATGGTGAGGTATTTGCTCTCGAGAACCAAGGACAGCATAGTTGTATAGTATACCTACTCCATTTCGCGAGTATCTTGTCATCTTGTTAAGTGGGATTTTATATCAATGGGACGTTGCGTTTGATCCTCGTCGCTATCGTATTTCTATAAGCTCTTTAACTCCGCCCCCTAACTTTTTCCTATAGTAGAAACATTTGCCGTTGCGAAGTACGTGCACGCGCAGTGAATAAATAATTTACTAATCATTTTACCTAAGCATTTGATGTTAAGAAACTCGCCGATAAATACGTTGCTATTTTCCGGTAAAATTATGAGGTTATCTGATTCATATTTTAATTTTCAAATTTTATAGTTTTCTTCAGCTGGACCATAACGCATTTTTGTTAGCGACAACAGTGGTTTATTAGTATTTTATTAGATTGGATATGTACTTGCGAGACTATTAACTGATAAACTAAAACCCATGTATCGCTGGCGCGATCGTCATGAAATCAGTAATGCGGAACAGTAGTTGCGGAAGTATATTTACGCAGATACGCGCGCACCATGCACGCACCCGCACGCACCCACGCGGGGCAACACACGCACGTACACACGCACATACGCACGCACGCACGCACCTACGCGGGGCCGCAAACGCACGCACGCACGCACGCACGCACCCACATGGGGCTACACACGCACGTACACACGCACGTACGCACGCACGCACATGCACGTACACACGCACGTACGCACGCACGCACGCACCTACGCGGGGCCGCACACGCACGTACACACGCACGTACGCACGCACGCATGCACCTACGCGGGGCCGCAAACGCACGCACGCACGCACGCACGCACCCACCCACGCGGGCCACACACGCACGTACACACGCACGCACGCACGCACGCACGCATGCATGCATGCACACGCACATACTCATTTATTCTCACAGTCAATAAAAGTTATGGAAAATTTATGCATCGAATGACTGCCTTAATATTTAGAAAACGTAGTTCTACATTTATTCAAAGAGAGTCAATACGTTATAATTCATAAACTCACACTCAGAAATCCTTGAAATTTTGCAATTTGACCGCGGAGTATATTGAGGACGAATTTCCTTAAAATGATCGTTCACTGCCTGAATAAACTGATCCTTAATAACTAAATTTAAAAGCAAGGCATTTATAAAAATCGTTGATAAGATGACAGTAATGTAAAATAATTAACAGTGGAAATTCTATGACAAACACTGTAGTTCCTGTCTAGACTCTGCACTGAACAGAAATACAATAGCAATGATAATAAACTGTTTCGTGACATCTTAAAACGTTACAAGTTCTTTGTTTTGGGATTATCGTATAATAAATAAATATGATAATAATTAATTAAGCGTAGTTTATTTAGTTATCCCTCGTAAGTGCTTCGATGGCACATAAGGCAGTGTCAAGAGATCTCCAACGTCGTCGGTCCGCGGTCTACGCGGTCAAAGCGTAGTTACATATCACACACACAAAAATAATGCTGATATTTTTCGCTACGAAATTATGTGTTATTGGCTGAAATCATGCTAGGTGGTGCCAGATGTCTATCTGTTGATACCACTTGCTAGACGGCATGTAAGACTATGTAGACAAACTTGACAGCTGAAACTTAATAAATTCTGTAACTTCCGTCATAATATCAGCAAAGACATGAACAATCTTTTAACGTTCATACAGAAATCACCAAGCCTAAAATATGTGGTGTATTGCACTTTATAATTAATGTCTCCGTATCCACAAATGTTTGAATTGTATTCCTCTAGTACATTTCGTGTTAAATCGTAGTTTAATTTCATGAGTTCATAAAAAGGTGAAGTCTTTGTGGTCGAATTCATTCATGCTAAACGCGTTTTTCCAAGTCACCACATTATCAGGGAAATTTCTGAAAATTTGTATTCAGCATTGAACTATAAATTTCATTACATAGACTGCGGTCGCTCTAGTTTCTTTGCACTCATGCGCCAATATACATAATGCTTGCGCCTCTGGGATATGGACGAACGTACGCGCACAATTATAGTAGTAAACAATAACGTAACAGCATGATACGGTCTTTTATAAGTCGGGTTTAACATGCTCGAGGACCATATATTATGTTATGAGAGATGAAACCGCTCATTCTTATCTCTTTAGGATTTAGGATTCACATCAAGCCTATATAAACCTCACTGCACAAAAAATTGCCGTTACTCGTATAAACAGACGCCAGGACACACAGGATGGAACAGCCAGATCGTGTTGGCGTTCAAAAGACTCGCATGTATATCCGTCAGTAGATAGCACACTGAATATCTCTCCGATTTTCTCGTGGAAACAGGATTAATGATTTTGCTCGCCTGATCCTACGCGCGCCATCTAGCGTCGTTCGTTATCGCCATAACAGCTGACGGGGTTCAAAAGACATCGGACGGCGTAGCGGTTTCGCTGAGGCCGCTGATACATGGCGCCGAACCGCTTGGCTGGTACATCAACGCTACGGTGGTACTTGCTGACGATGCCATGTGACGGGGCGAACGCGGCGTCGACGTCCCAGGCTCCTCGTCGCGCGCTGGCCCCGAAATTGCCGTCCTGTAAATTAAAAATAGGTAGTTGATTTAGAATGTTTGTGACTTTAATCTCAAAATTGTTCGAAATCATTTTGATACAGTTAGAAATAGGTAGGTATGTAGATAAGTAGATAGAGGGAGGGGAGATCATGAGAGTGAGAGAGAGAGAGAGAGAGAAAGAGAGAGAGAGAGAGAAAGAGAGAGAGAGAGAGGGGTGAGGAAAGAAAACGAGAAAGGAAGAAACGCCTTTTTCGGGATAGGGTTGCTTTGAACCGGCGGACACTTACTGGGGGGACACCAGGTGTTCTGTAAGCAGAATTAAACCTACGCCGAGAGATAGTTCGCGACAAATACAAGATCAGTTGAAAGAACTACGTACGTAAAGCTACTTACGAATAGCGCTCGTTTTAAGTGTGAGCAGCACGCTTGAAATGTTCAAACTCGAGTCATCTATACTATAACGACCAATGGTCGTTACGTTAAAATCCCGCGGTGACTTAAAACATAAAAACGCAAAAATGATGGCATCGTCTTATGAGTAGCATTACGCCGTTCTGTCTCAGGTACCGAATAATAATGAATAAAATCTAAATTCAACATAAAATAAAATGTAATGTGCTTATATCGTTGTGTTGTAAATGATTTATGTTCGGTATGAAATTTTTTAACTCATCTGGATGGAAACTTCGGGGATGCATCATCTGCATGCACGCATACACCGCCTATACCCAAGCCATAGAAAGCAAGCATACACCGTGCATTTGCCATAGAGGGCCGCCTAAGCTACACACTATACTATAATGGCGTGAAGGAGGGGACTCCGAGCACGGAAGCGCGAGGCTAGTCAGTTGTTGAACCATAAGTTACTCCATAAGTGTGTGCGTGTGTACGTGTGTGGGGGTGCGCGCGTGTGTGTGTGTATGTGTTCGTGCGCGCGTGTGTGTGTGTGCGTGTGTCCATGCGTGTGTGTATGTGTGTGTGTGTGTGTGTGTGTGTGTGTGTGTGTGTGTGCGTGTGTGTGTGTGCGTGTGTGCGTGTGTGCATGCGTGCGTGGCGTGCGTGCGCGTGTGTGTGTTTGACGCGTCTATGTATTACTAAAAATGCTGTCTCATGTTAACAATATGTGTTCCATGCTAGCGCCACGCGCAGGTAGCAGTGTAACACTGCCCACGCAAGGGACCAGTACTTCCAATCGGGTCACTCATCGGTGACACAATTCTCGAGAGTGCTGAACATCATTACATCAGGCCGCGATGGCGCACGAAATGTAATGGTATCTGATATCCGCTTGATCTTGTTCTCCAGTGAACACTTAGAGAGCTACTCACGGCTCACCACCGTGCACCTTTGATCCGCATAAGTGGCCTATACCGGAGGGCCTTCTGAAACCTTGTGTGGCAGCCGGGTGGCGCGTGGCTAACAGCACGGCACGAGGATACATTGCGCGTGAACCCGAGTATATGACTGTCCACCAGACAACATGATAATGAGACACAATTGCCTCACGCAAGAGAGAGAGGGAGAGGGGGAGAGGTAGAGAGAGGAAGAGAGAGAGAGAGGAGAGAGAAGAGAGAGAGAGGCGCGCGCCGCGAGCGAGAGAGAGAGAGAGGGGGGGAGAAAGAGGACGAGTGGGGGCAGTGGGAAAGATGTGT